GATTCACCGAAACTGAACGTTTTCTGTGCCATATCCAAAGAGAAGGTGTACGGGCCATTCTTCTTCGCCAAGGCAACCATCACTGGCACGTCCTATCTTGAGATGATGCAGGAATGGCTAATGCCGCAACTTACAATGATGACTTCTTTTATCAGCAAGATGGGGCTCCGCCACACTACCACCGCCTCGTCTGCGGCTACTTCAATCAGCATTTGCCACAACGTTGGATTGGACGCATGACTGTCAATGACCATGCGCTGCTTTGTTGGCCACCCCGATCACCTGACTTCAAGTGATTTTTTTTTCATATGGGGGTACGTAAAGGACCAGGTCTTTGTACCGCCTGTGCCACGGGATCTGTCTGAGCTGCATTTATGATGTATGTAAAATAAACTTGGAGAGTTTCTCTTTTTATCGGCATGTCGCAGGTTACCGTCTTACGAAAAGTGCTAGCTGTAATTTTCTGATCCAATTTAAAAACTGTTACGAATTTTTTCCCCGCAAAATTCTTCAATATTGAATTTAATTAAAATCGGGTTATCCACTCCCAGATACATTCATGCATAAGATATATGATGATCACGCCCTACGTCACACCAGCCTTACTTTCTGTCCACCGAAGGCCAGTGTTCGACCCGACGGACAGACTGACAAGAGATCTTCTCCCCTCCGAGTGGAATCTCAAAATAGACTTCTTCAGTAGCCAGCCTCCACCAGACAATCAGCTTTAAGTCGATGATCGATGTTTATCACGTTGGCTCCACTGTGGAGGTCACAAGCGTTATCACGTGACTACAGATGTCAGCGGTGGGTCAGATGTCAGCATCTTTTACATGGAGGCTCAGTCTTTGGTGGTGGGACACGCATTCGGTTGACCCTTGACAAGTGTAGCAGAAAAACTCTAAATCCGTCACTGCGTGTTGTTACTGGTAAAAGCTAGGAGCCCCCTAGAAAGAATTAGAAATCGTAAGTTTCGGTAGAAAAGCAAATGTGTGGGGTAACACTCGGTGTTTATACCTGTTTTTCGCAACAGCTGGGCCTAAAAACTATTTCCTATTAGGCTAGCCTGAGTTCCGTTTCTACCATAATTACGTCTTCACGAACACGTTCAGTAGAAAAATGTCTTATCATTTATAAACACTTACTTGTTTAATTTTTTTAAGTGATAAGTGGTTTGACTTAGTAACTCCTAAAATCAGAAGTAAATTCAGATTCCCACGTAAAGTTGACGTCTGAACAACAAGTGACTTATTCGTAGAAAATACCAGTTCTGTCGACTTCAGTTAATGACTTTTAGATTTTACTAATGACTGCTACTAACAGATTTCGGGGTTTTACTGTAACAAGTATATAAAGCTAACGTCTCCACCTGACGTTGTAGGCTGTCTGTGTTTCATTCAGCACCAAGTATGAGGTTGTGGAGGCATTCTCCACACATTCTTAACCTCGTCCGGCACTGGACTGAGGACAGTGGTCAGCATTCAAGCTCCGGGTGTTTTACCGCCAGAGTCTTTCCGGACGCGGGGAATAACAAAAACTCCCTGCCGGAAATTGGCCAAGTCAAGAATACGTGGAGTTTTACCTCAATTCCCACAGCGTCCACAACTTAGTACGTAGCAACTAATATACGCTATAGACAGGGATTAACTTGCTTTTCATTATTTATGAAGTTCAGCGCAAATCCTATTATACAAGTGGGGAGGAAATGTGAGGTCCAGGGGCCGAGCACGTCATCTGACGCGGTAACGCGCTGACTTGTATCCGGTTCGAATCTCGGTGGAAGAAAGAGCTACCCTAAGTTTTGTCGTGTTTTTTTAGATTTCCACCATGTCCTTTTCAGGAGAATATTACGATAGTACTTTTAAACAGACCATCGCCTCAACAGCGCTAATCTCATCTCAAAGCTAAACAGCTTCGGCAGTTGATAAACCGTCTTCAACATGCAATTGACTAAAAATTTTGACCACTTTTCACGTGGTCTGGACCAGTGGTATTCAACCTTTTTTGTTCGTGTACCCCCAGATATAATTTCTCTCCAATTTTGTACCCCCAAAGTCGTTGGTGTATAATTCAAGTTATGCGTAGTATATAATCTACATCTAAAATAAATTAAATAAATTACATTACTGATTATTCAGTGTTTATCATAAAATAATTTTTTTTTTAAATTTCACGTACCCCCAAAGATGTCTTCGCGTACCCCCAGATATAATTTCTCTTCAATTTTGTACCCCCAAAGTTGTTGGTGTATAATTCAAGTTATACATAGTATATAATCTACATCTAAAATAAATTATATAAATTACATTACGGATTATTCAGTGTTTATCATAAAATAATTTTTTTTTTAAATTTCACGTACCCCCAAAGATGTCTTCGCGTACCCCCGGGGGTACGCGTACCCCAAGTTGAATACCACTGGTCTCGACAACCGGAGTTATAAAGAACGCCTGTACTTGGCAATTATGCTCTCGGCGTGAAGACCACCAACTGATCTGGTTTATGGAATTATGCAAATTTCGTGAAATTATGACGTAGTAACAAGTACTTTATTACCATCGCGATGAAACATGAATGGTGAATTCATTAGAATCAGAAGGAGTGGTCGGGAGGTCTGGTTAAGTTAGTTTACAAGAGGATTTGAGTCAGCGTGACACCCCAAGGACAACCAGTCCGCCGAGTACCTCGTCTCCCTCGCCCACTTTGGGTGCGACACAGACTGTACTTGTTACAGCCGCATTAATCATAGCGAAGATGCTGCATAACAAATTCAAAGCAACCATAAAAGTTTATTTTCATCACGGCTTAAGAAAAGGTAAGGTGTCGCTTCCAAATCTTACCAACTGGAAGAATGGTATTCCCCTATCTCAACTATACCCATGGCATTCATCACTGCCATCTGTCGTCACTTCGAAGAAGTGCACTGAATTTCAATTGTCTCCAATCTTATTGGGTTTCCAGGACACGCGTGTTTTCCAGCTTTCAGAATTTGAAATTTTTAATCTGGTTTCAGAATCAATCGACGATTGAAAATGATTAGTAGCTGGAACCAACCGAAGTACGTCACTCTTGGTAACTGTGGCTTTGAGAACAGATTTAACGCAAAAATTTAATCCTAACAAAAATCAAAAACCCAGTCTGATTCCCACTTCGTTTTAAAGTTTGGAATCTGTGACATGTGCCATCTTTCACTCCCACGCATTAAAAAAAAACAACTGCAAATTTTAATTTCCATCTTGATGTTACAGCGGAGACGAGGATAAAGGTAAAATTCGATATATTTTTTTATCAAAATTAATATTACACCAAAGAGATCATTAAATTATTTTAATATATTTTTAATTCAAAGACAATAAGTTGTTAGATTTTTAATGTTTAATATTAGATCCGGTTGGAGGCATTTGGAAGACAGCAAACACGAGATTTTCTTAGAATTTGTCACAAAAAAAATGCTCATAAATCATTCATTCAACGCACAACATCTTCAGTTCATTTACACATCAAAAACAGCAATTGTATCGTAACTGTTTGATCTACTCGTCATGAGTTCGTCTGTCTGCGGCTGAATACACATTCACGCACTGTCACAATTTATGTCCACGTTTCCTTAGCACCAAACGCCTTAAAATGAATGGGCCCTACCCTTCAACAGGCAGTTCATAAGCTTCGCTCGTCGGAAATGATTACGCACAGGCCAAATGCCAATTACTTCTCGCAGTACTTGCAAGCCTGCGATTATTACCTTAAAATCAGTGTTCGTCGAACTTTTCACCCGTGGCACACCCTCGTCACACCACAGAACTTCGCCTCACGAAAGCAGGTACGAAACTATGTACGAGGTGCGTTGCCAAAGACTTGCCAAAACGGCTACGGAAACCTATGAAATGCTAAAGCAAGCATTTGGGGAGTCCGCAATGGGTCGTGCACCAACTTTTGTGTGGCATTCACGTTTTAAAAATGGCCGAACCTCTGTCGATGATGACGAGCGTTCTGGACGACCATCTTCGAGCACAACGCCCGAAAATGTTACGAAGATCGTCGTCGTACCATCAACGACTTGTGCGACCTTGTTGGGATAGGCTATGGGACCTGTCAGCTGATTCTAAAGGAAGAACTCCACATGCGACGCATCATGACAACGCGCCAGCGCACACCGCCCTCAAAGTTCGGCAGTTTTTGGCCTCAAACACCATGGCCGTCATCCTGCACCCTCCTTATTCGCCGGATTTAGCTCCGTGTGACTTCTTCCTCTTCCGAAAGATGAAAATTCAAGGGAAGGAGATTTGAGACGATAGAAGAGATTCAGGCAGAATCGCAGATGGTGCTTGACAGGCTGATAAAGAAAGATTTCCAGGGATGCTTCCAGGCTTGGCAGCGGCGCTGGGATCGTTGTGTTCACTCCCAGGGGAACTACTTCGAGGGTGATGGATGAATTTAATACCTGAGATAAGTGTACGGGTTTTTATACGCGCAGTCTTGAAACTTTCCGATCGCACCTCGTACCTACATATAAATCGTTGTCTCTAACAAGATGGAAGATGATCACGCTCTACGACACATCGGCACACCAACAACGAGGCTGGTGTTTTACGACGACGTAATAAACTGGGATTTTCATGTCTAATCTGGCAAATAACTTACTGAAATTCGGGACATTCCCAGCGCGATCGAACAGTGGTTCATAAATAAAACCTATTGGACTAATGACATTGTTTTATTCAACGATAAACATTTACTTTTACATTTTGAAGCCGAAACTCGTCCAAATAATATTTAATAACTCAGTCCGTACCGCAAAGAAAACATCGCACTTCACCGTTTCGGAGATTAACTGAAATATCATCATCACGCTCGTAAGGGCTCGCCACTGTACCTATCCCGTGCCATATGAGTCCAATCAACACAAATATATTCCTTTTTTAATATTCGTTTCAATCTTGTCACTCCATCTACGCCTAGATCTACTAAGTAGCTCTTTACTTGTGGTTTTTTTCGACTAAAATATATTCAGGCTATTACAGAATATTTGAAATTGTATTTACATATGCCTGATTTTTTTTGTAGGTTCATGTACGGATTCTAAATATGAAAATCGTCAAAACCTGTGATTCCAGAGTGGCTTTATTAAACTGTGATTAAGCACGTTCACAACGGGAGTTGCCACAAAACCAACTTACTACTTTAAGTAACATCACTGAGCACCCCAGGATATTACAGAGGGCGTCTTCAGAAACGAGCTGTCCGGCCATTTTAAAGCATCATGTTCGATAGCAGAAGGCTTGTTATACCACGTACTGATTATACATTATCTGAATTCCCCTCCTTCCATCCCTACCCCCTGTCATCATAAATGTGTCTGGATGCTGCCATAAATCTTGTCCTCATGGCTGATGAACAGCTGACAGACGATTTCCGTTCCTCCAACCCTCTCACGCTCCAAGCCGTGCTTACACGATGAAAAATTGTGTTCATATTCGAAATCGCGGGTGTTTAAAACTCAGTTACGCACGACGGTACTAAAATTAGATCAGAATCAGCTTATCCCCTCTCAAACTCCCAAAATACATTCGAATGGTCATCTTGGTTGCTAGGCCGATGCTCACGTCAGGTGCGCAAAATCTGACGTGGTGTATTCACGAACAAAACGTGTGTTCATTTTCAAACGTCACTTCGCATCGAAATCGTCTGACGAGTAAGTACCGGTATCAGAATGTCGGGACACAGGAAGTGTCTGTCTGTGACGTAACTTCATCAAGCGATAAAACAGCTGAAATTACGGTCGTACCGATTTCAAGCAGTGCATCAGCTGCGACACTTCAATACCGATTGTCATTTGTTTCCTCCTTGAGGGATTCGTGAATTTTGGTCAGCGTTGCGTTTTAAATGTAACACAACGTATAGTTTCGATTTTAGTCGATAAGCCGACAATAACACCGCAAACCAACAACTTTCTTATCACCAAACCAACATTTATTAACAATTAACTTTGCCAAACGCGTTTCAACTTCATGAGGTTCATCTTCAGTGGCTGGAGGACGTGTTCAAGAATTTGCAGACTTCAGCGAGTGCTGTTTGAATCGATAAGGACGAGATTCAGGAAACAAACTTCATGTCTTGCTAACAACAATTATTTGCCGATGATACAACAATGCGAATATTTATTTATTTATTTAGTGTTCTGTCTGACGACAGGTCCATATGAACAGGATCCTTCCATCCTTTTCTCGGACTGGGACCTGTTCATATACGTTCTTGGCAGATGATCCAGAAGTGGTTTGCCATTGCCTTCTTCTGTGTGTGAATGGAGTAATTGTTGGGATGCCACGGAGGAAAACTCCGTGTTGCCTAGACCACGGCCTTGCCCAACACAAGTTATAAATTCGGGCACCGCCGGGAATCGAACCCGAGACCCCAGGATTACAAGGCCAGCGTTCTGACCGCTAGACCACCGCGGTATATAATGCGAATATTCAGAACAGAAGTTCACTGTCGCATATGTTCTGGATAAACCGATTTTATAACTTGTAAATGACCGAGTAGGAGTGTCTCCTAAAGCAGGTCAGATGAATCAGATTCACCGACCACCACGAACGAGTAACCGGTTCCTATCTGCCGGTACACTCATCCCTCGTAATGAACAATTTAACAAATGCCACAGAACCGATATGGACAAACAACTTGGCCTGTGTATGACGTCACAATACTAGGAAATTATTAGCGATTCTACGAGTCATTCGAAACGCCTCGGCCACACGACTTGAAGCGCTGTCCAGAACTGATACCAGAGATGATAAGACTTCCAGGACGACCACTCGAAACGAAGCGCCTAGCAATTTGCCTACATGCAAACTTCTCGAGTGGGAACACGAAACACCGTAAGCCAGCGACTATCGACACAATTAATCCGAGTTTATTTTTCGTATCTCCCTTGCCATAAATCTGAGAGATAAAAACGCAATGTCAAACTTCAATATCTGAAGGACTACAAGAAAAATTTACAACTAAATTGTTAATAAACTACTTTAACTACATGTACATAACCTAGCATCAAATATCTGTGATAAAATTCAATATCTTTTCTTTGAAACGTCCTGATGACGAACTTGTGACGAACTAGTGACGCAATAATCCACAACTTATAGCATTAATTTGGAGGAAATACTTAATCTCACTGGGATTATTACTTGAACAAATATGGTACACATGACAAGTGATATTTCGGAACCTAAATTACTGACAGCTTCCAACGAGTTCTTTATGTCATTGGTATTCAACCTGGGGTACGCGAAGACATCTTAGGGGGTACGTGAAATTTTAAAAAATATATATTATTTTATGATAAACACTGAATAATCAGTAATGTAATTTATTTAATTTATTTTAGATGTAGATTATATACTATGTATAACTTGAATTATACACCAACAACTTTGGGGGTACAAAGTCGAAGAGAAATTATATCTGGGGGTACGCGAACAAAAAAAGGTTGAATACCACTGTTTTATGTCACCAGAGAGCGTAATTTCACAATCTCCGGGCTCAGAAGATAAAACAAAAGTTAAAAGTCGATGCTGTGATCAGACCACAACACGTTCAACTCACCTTCAGCTAAGCACGAAGCAGAGACTGTACCATGACGTATCCTCCCCTCTTTTTTTAATCCTGTTATTCTCAAAAAAAAAACTCCGTTGTGAAAATAACAGCGTCTTATTCGTTTCTTCTGATTACGAAATAAATGTTTCTCACCTACTTCGAAAAAAAATTGTATGTCTGAATTTAAATTGGGAAACTATAAAAAGAAAAATCTCTACGAAAGTGTACACAACCACAAACTCACGCACACTTAGTTCCAACTTATTCTTCTTCTCCTGTCTTCTTTTGTAAGCTTTGGTCTCTCTTTGGTCATTCTAATTTACCATATTCTTTTTTTATTTTCGTGTACGTGGTCATTCGTCTGAGATCACAACAGAAACTCCAAGGTCCTCTTCAAAAGACAGCTTTCTGTACCTTATCCCTCATTCTCACTTTTTGTATAATTCCTCTTCAGCTGCTGGAAGTATTTCTCATTCGTTGAAATTGCTTCGTCACGTTTGTAGTTTCATTGTCATCTTCTCCACCAACTGAAAGTTAAGAAAAATCAGAGATGAGATCACACGAATTGGAAGCAATGAACTCCTTTACCAAGTATTAATCTTGTAAATAAGACGTCCTGTCTTCAAAAATAAATGCGACAGTGTCACTGTACTTCACGTTCATCCACAGGAAACCGTTCGGCTAGAACGTCCAATTTAAAACGACACCGATGTTGGATGAAACAGCAGTGGCCAGTTCTGTGTATGACCCGACATATTGTTACATTCACTGACGACAGAGAGAGAGAGAGAGAGGGGGTTATGAAATCAGTCAACATTCTCAAAAATAACATCAGTCCATTGTGAGTGCAGACGCACTCAAAACTTCGTAGCAAAATTTTGCAAAACAAGTGACGCGGTTCGTACTCGTTTAACCGGCGAAAACGTGACGAATTTTTCAAAACTTTTTTTACGAAATATTCTTAGCATGTTTAATGCACTAAACTTATAGAGGAATTTCGACATGGATTTGCATGTATTGCAGTTATTAATAATAATCATTATTCCTAATTTTATAAATTCACAGATTTAGTACATTGTATTTGTTTTGAACATTTCGTTCTCCTACGAGAACTTTGTTCAATTGAATTGTTATTGTTGCCTTCGTGAATTTACGTAGTCTAAACCACGTAAGTCTTTTTAATAATGTTTGTTGTAACTTTGCTGGCGTCATTATTATTTTAATTGGCTTTCTGGCTATTTTGATTCGGCACAGAACTGAAAATAACTTAGCACTGCGGTACCATTTGTGGAATAACAACAACAATAATAATAATAATAATAATAATAATAACAATAATGGATTTGCGCACAATACTTACACACCATTCATGACAAAGTGTTAAAAATGCTATCGACAATTAACAAACGCGTACAGTCCGGCTTAGAACGCTGGCCTTGTAATCCTGGGGGGTCTCGGGTTCGATTCCCGGCGGTGCCCGAATTTATAACTTGTGTTGGGCAAGGCC